AAAGCCTGTAATTGTTTTACATGATGGTAGGATTGCTGGTGTCCTTTTTTTTCTGTCTCATGAACATGCAAGATTTCAGGTATGTCTTGCTACTTCTGCTTACACTTACATCACACTACACATATATGTACAAGCACACATATATACACACCCCTTTGGGTTTCTATTTTCTTTCTAGTTCTTATTCTTGTTTATTTCCTCTTATCTCCACGGGGAAGTGGAACAGAATTCTTCCTCCATAAGCCATGCGTGTTGTAAGAGGCGACTAAAATGCCGGGAGCAAGGGGCTAGTAACCTCTTCTCCTGTATATATTACTAAATGTAAAAGGAGAAACTTTCGTTATTCCTTTTGGGCCACCCCGCCTCGGTGGGATACGGCCGGTGTGTTGAAAGAAAGAAGACCAACCACTCTAACACTATGTTTCCCCCTGCTTTTAACATTTCTGTCATGATCCCAGCAGTTCCAGCTGCTTTACCCCCTTTCATTCTACGTAATGCCTCATGAACCTCCCCCACACTCACATCCTGCTCTTCTTTACTCCTAAAAGATGGTATACCTCCCTGGCCAGTGAATGAAATTACCACCTCCCTTTCTTCGTCAACATTTAAAAGTTCCTCAAAATATTCTCGCCATCTACCCAAAAATTCCATATCCCCATCTACTAACTCCCCTACTTTGCTTTTAACTGACAAGTCCATTTGTTCCCTATGTTTAAAAAAAAAAAAGGGGGGGGGGAGCAACGTGGAGGAATAGCTCCTAGGAGGAAAGAAAGAGCTGTAAATCCCCCTCTGCGCCCAAGAGGACCCCGGCACCGCAAGTAGTGCAAATGCGGCATGGTACCCATGCCATACCCTACCCTTCATGCCAATAAACCAGCAATCCGGAATAGCAACCTCACATCTGCCGAGGCACCTCAGTGGACAAAAGAGAGGATGGCTGGACACCCCCCACAAAGCATACCTCCTTCAGCCACCACCCCCCGGAATCTGACAGGCAGCCTCCAGAGATACACTTGTCACCCAAAAGACACCCAAAGCCACCCTCTGGAAGACCGGAGAAGAATCGGGACATCTCCAAGTGAGCCAGATTCCATGGCAAACTACACCACCACCAAGGACCTCAATGGAATGGGATGGACCATGGTACCCTTCCCTCTACCTAGGAACTAGAGTGCCTGTGGGAAGAATCCCAAGGGCTGAAAAAAAGAAGGGGATAGGGGGGGATAGGGGAGGGATAAGGAGGAAAGGGAAAAAGGGGAGATAGAGAGGATAGGATAGGGAAGGGGGATTGGGAGGTAATTAGGTTCGATCTGAGGAAGGAGACCAAAAGGTCTAATTCCTCAGACCAAGAGTGTCTTCACTGTGCCAAGTAGCCCCTTTTGAAGAAGTGTCAACTCCCATTTTTCATTTGATTCCCTATAATTTAATCCCACCCCTCTCCCCATCCCTCTAGCATTTACTTCTTTTACAACCCCATCTATAAATATGTTAAACCGCCATGGTGACATTACACATTCCTATCTAAGACCTACTTTTACTGGGAAGTAATCTCCCTCTCTCCTACACACCCTAACCTGAACCTCACTATCCTCATAATTATTATTGCTCCCCTATCCATTCTATCATATGCTTTTTCTAAATCCATAAATGCAATGAAAACTTTCCTACCTTTAAATACTGTTCACACATATGCTTCAGTGTAAGCACCTAGGTCTGCTTCAATATTATTGGGACTCCATAAACCACCACCAATCATTCCTGGTTATATTTTGTGTAAAATTGGCCAAGTTACTGACTTTTGTGCACTTTATAGGACAATATTAATTTTGAAGGTCTGGACAGTAAAATGGTTAATAACCTGGATATGGACCAGAGGAATGGTTTAAGTGAAAAATGTGTTGAACAAATTGCCTTTTCAACAGAAACCCAAGTTATAACTCAAGATGCAGATTGGGATGATATTCCCCATCTAATTCTTATTAATTTTTTTAATATTGAAATTTAATTTATATACTACTCACCCGAGGAATGGATTCTTAACATCCTAACAGAATTCAAAGAGTAACAGTAATTTAAATAAAATCCGAGGGTGCCACAGTGAAAGGCTGTTCCCCAAGGCACAGTTCTTGTACATCATGTTCAGTATTAATACTCCTTGGTTTATCAGGCCCACATCATAACACAATGCTAAAGATTAATCTAATTATCTTCACTATTAATTCCTAGTGCATAGCTAATAATTGTAGAGAATACTTAAATATCAAATACAGTTCTGCACATCATAAGTACAGTTTAAAAAGTCTATTTTATTTATACAAGTTGCAGATCATAATACTGATTACACTCTATAAGCAATTCCAAATATTATATATTACAATCAACTAGTAAGCACTGGATACACAAGAACCTATTTGCAAATATAAATATCAAGAGATGTGTATTGATTTTTTCATATGCTTAGAGTTGAAACACAGTTTCTTCCTCAAATGTTTTGGCTAAAGACTGTCTCAGAATATAACCAAAAATACCCAGCAATGCTAAAATGTAATAACATTGTGTACATGTTAATTTTGTACATAATAATCCAAGTATTTTATTATTCTCTACAATTATAGAACAGGAAAACAGCAAATTATTATTATAATAAAAAAGAAGCGCTAAGCCACAAGGGCTATACAGCGCTAAAATAAAACTGTATATGAGGAGAACTGTACATTAATCTACCTGCCATTCTCCTGGACAGATACTGTCCTATCACTGGAGTATCTTAACACAATGTGTGCATCTCCCAAAGATCTGCAGTGTTTAGGGAACAGCAGAGAACTGACTGACTGTACATGGATTATTACTACATTTATGGAAAGCGCTAAATCTGTACCCAGTTCCATTTCCAGGTCTCCAGGATTCAATCAAATCTACATTTATAGGCCTCTTATATATGATGTACAGAATTTAGTAAATATAACATATTAAGGTTCAATGTGAATTTGCACTTTGTTAATATTTATGCAGGGAATATATGGCTTTTACTAAAGATAAATAATAAAACCATTTGAAAATTAAATGGCATTTAAAATTTCATGGAAAAAAAAAAGAAAGAAAGAAAGAAAGAAATAAAGGTTAAATTCCTTGAAATACAGATTGTGCATGAGAAAAATAATGTAAGGGTAAGACAAAAAAAATTCAGTTGTTACTGACATATTTTGAAAATAATAATGTACAGAACAGGATTGCTTTTACTAATTTCAAATATACATAAAATGAAATTTCCAAAATACTTTACATGAAAAAAAACAGGACACTGGCATGGCCACCAAATATAAAATAATTTTAAAATGTACATAATAACAAATCTAAAGAAATCAAAATTGCACATTAATTTTTAACAAATTTTGGACATTTGTCTTATCCAAAAGATTTAATGGTCAACATGGTTTGGTTAAAATTAAACACAAACCTGGTGTGCTTCACCTTTACTATCAAGAGTATCGTATCATTATGCCTGCTATACAGAGGATCGGACAAGTCTACCACAGCAGCAAGGCCCAAATTCTTAGTATGATGTACAAAATTTGTTGGCCTACTGCACCCTTGGCAAGGTTAGAGGCATCTTAATATAAGACAATGTTAGCCTGATTATGGGAGACACTCCATAAGCAGGGTTCAGGCCACCCGACCCACTTCTGTGCTCACCCACAGCCTATATACCTGCTCGACAGTTTTCACACTTTCATCTCATACAGAGAGTCATTCCTTTCAATACATTACTTGCCGTCAGTAACACTATTGGCTGGTGGAACAGAGTCACAAGGGGGAGACATAAATGAACTCTACAGTTATGTCACAATGAAAGATAACCTACTAAACAAGGGTGCATATCTAAAATGGAGTAAAAATAAATTATATTCATAATCACTGATGCATATGTATGACATCTTACAGATGTGGCTAAATATACAGAAAAACACAGTACCTAGTAGCCTCAAAGTAAAGATGATGTAATTCCACTGTTCAAGGTAATCATGAAGCAGTGAGGGATAAGAGAGGGCTTTATTGAGAAGGGTATTGCAAAGGGGTAGGGGAAGGGAGGGAAAAGACAAGGGATTGTACTTGGTATACAGCCAGCTGGACAGGGTTCTAGCGACTTCTAGGAGGGCCTGCATTTAGTATACAATTTTAATGATGGACAAAATATAGCAATCTGGCTACGAGGCTAATTGTATGTTATATAACACCAGCCCTGTTTTATATGCATTTCCATAGTTGGTACATTTCAAAACTGCATCTTCAGATTATTTAAACAATAAACAATGCATTTAGTATTATTAAAGGATCTTTTCTCTTTCATTAAACAGAAAATAGATAAAAAAATATGATGTTTCTGTATTTTGTAAATGACTTTGTGTTTTTTACAGTGAGATTTTTATTCATGCCTCAAATATATGGTACATAATTACAAAAAAAAAGGTAACTAAGATAAATGAATTATATATATATATATATATATATATATATATATATTATATATATATATATATATATATAGACGGCCGACTTGTTGAAAAAAAAAAAAAAAATATATATATATATATATATATATATATTATATATATATATATTATATATATATATTATATATGGGAACGGCCAACTTGTTGAAAAAAAAAATATATATTATATATATATATTTATATATAAATTATATAGTATATAAATATATTATATATAATATATTACATATTATATATATATATAATATATTATATATTATATATATATATAATATATTATATATAATAATATAAATATGCCTCGGTGGGAGACGACCGACTTGTTGAAAATATATATATATATATATATATATATATATATATAATATATATATATATATATATATATAATATATATATATATATATATATATAATAATAATATATATATATATATATATATATAATATATATATATTCACAAAATATGTATATATATATATTCACAAAATATGTATATATATATATATGTATATGCAAGAAACCCAAACTTTTCAACAGTGGCTTGAAGAATTGCAGTTTGTGTATTCCAACCTACTGAAAACTACCACATTGTTCCATCAGTATCTCAGAGCCAACATTTTACATTTCAGGGCTGATGGGAAACCAACTTCATAGAGTGGTGCAATATTTACATAATTATTAAAATGAATGTTTAGAAAAAAAAAAATAGCCATCCCGTTGTGCACAATGACACAACACCGCAGGTCATCAGGGCATGTGGTCCTTGGTACCAGTACTATCCCAGGTTCTGCAGTAGTGCTGGTGGAATAGGGTTGTATAGTCACTTTTCATGCAGGATAAGTCATAGGATCTCTGCTTCCTCTTACAAATATTTGTGGTTTGAGCAGTTAAATCAGCAAAAGAACATATGATTCCTCCAAATGTCCCCTCTCAGTAATATGTACTATCATGGACATTGAGAGGATTAGCAACCAACTGTCTTTATGTACACTCACATCAGAATCACTGGACACAGTCTTCATCATACTAAGACACTTGCACAGAGATTACTGGTTCCTCCAATCAGTCTCTTGGCATAATCAGAGCTGAATGAACCAAATTTAAAATCAGTCCTTTATATTCAAGAGTCAAAAGCACTTCTGGTCAAGATTGGGGCCGGTAACCCCCAAGGCGAACCCTGGTATGTGCACTGCCCACCCTCAATCCCTGCCTCATTTGACCACTCATGTACTATGGTGACACTACACTGGGTAAGGACCAGGTGAGTTGATCTGGAACATTTCATTAACAGTTGTCATTCTATGGAGACATCTTTGGTATCTGCCCTGATACTGATCACCATAATTAAGTGTATATGTGAATGGTCAAGTGAGAAGATGGGTTACTGCTCCCTGATACCATGCGGTTCTCCTGCTTGGGTAAGTCTGCCCAATCAGACAAACTGATTTTCTACCAGAGAGAGGGCTGAGGGAGCAGTTTAAGCTTTTCCCGTGTTCATGAGTTGAGCCATGGGTGTTTGAGGCACTCTCCAGCAGTAGCTCGTTCTGATGTGTCAAATGCCAGCATAGGATTGAGAAAATCACTAAAAGCACGTGCCTCTTCTTCAGGCCACTCATATTTCTCTGTCAGTACCTCAAACATGCCCCATGGACGGAGCTTTGTGATATGCTTAAGGTCCCCTAGAAAACAAGAAATGGTTTATAATTAAAAATAATGCATATAAAAAAATACTTCACATTAAAGCAAATATATGAATGGTTTTGTGTAAGAAATTGTTTGGTTATTTATAAAGCTATAACAATTTTTTCAGAGATTTGCAACAAATGCAATAGTACATATTGCATGTTATATTATTGTATAGCACTGGCATACCTCCTTCAATATCTGAAGACAGCTGCAAAATTGAAAAACTATGGGGCAGCAGTAAATGTGGATTTATGACTCATAGTGAGGAATCAAAGCTTGAAGAAAGAAAATATTTGACCATAATAAATTTAGTAACAAATATACTGCAATAGTCATTACAAGTTCTAGCTCTTGGTCCTGCCTCTTAATGTTCAAATGACTTGTGTGAATTTGCCCTGCTGATTCTCATTTTACACACAGTATGTGTATCATTATTACACTTATGGGCAAGTACTACACTCATAGGAGTCATACAATGCCTGGGAAATGAGAGACAATTATTATTAAAACATCGGTCGTTTCCCACCAAGGTAGGGTGGCCTGATAAAGAAAAACTTTCACCATCATGCCATCACTGTCTTGCCAGAGGTGTACTTCCACCACAGTTATAAAACTGCAACATTAATACCCCTCCTTCAGAGTGCAGGAACTGTACTTCCCATCTCCAGGACTCAAGTCCAGCCTGCCAGTTTCCTTGAATCCCTCCGTAAATATTACCCTGCTCACACTCCAACAGCACGTCAAGTCCTAAAAACCACTTGTCTCCATTCGCTCATATCTAACATGCTCACGCATGCTTGCTGGAAGTCCAAGCCCCTCACACACAAAATATCCTTTACCCCCTTCCTTCAACCTTTCCTAGGCCAACCTCTACCCCGCCTTCCCTCCACTATATATTTATACACTCTCAAAGTCATTCTATTTTGTTCCATCCTCTCTACATGTCCAAACCACCTCAACAACCCCTCTCCAGCCCTCTGGATAATAGTTTTGGTAATCCCGCACCTCTTCCTAATTTTCAAACTATGAATTCTCCGCATTATATTCACACCACACATGGCCTTCAAACATGACATCTCCACTACCTCCAGCTTTCTCCTTGTTGCAACATTCACAACCCATGCTTTGCACCCATATAAGAGCAATGGTATAACTATACTCTCATACATTCCCCTCTTTGCTTCCATGTAAGAAATTCTTTGTCTCCATAGACTCCTCAGTGCACCGCTCACCTTTTTCCCTTTTTCCCCTTATCTTTCATAGACCCATCTGCTGACACATCCACTCCTAAATATCTGAATACATTCACTTCCTCCACACTCTCTCCCTCCAATCTGATATCAATCTTTTGTTACCTTTTTTTTTTTTTTTTTTTTTTTTGTTAATCTCATCACCTTACTCTTTCCTATATTCACTTTTAACCCTTTGACTGTCGCAAGGCCCTTTCTGAAACTGTCATTCTATGTCAAAAAATTTTTGGAAAAAAAAAAATTATTTTTCTTGTGAAATGATGGAGAATCTTTTCCCGATGGTAATGACACCAAAAGTATGAAATTTGGTCGAAAACTCATGGAATTACGCTCCTGCGAAGTTAGTGGTCTCGGCGACATATACGCATCGGCAATTTCGCTGACTGAGCCCTATTTTTGGCCAATTCCACCATTCCAGTTGACCAAACTCATAGCTATTTCTTTAGAACTCCATTTTTTTATCAATTGAGTACAAGAAACCACCCATTTACCAATTTGAACTACCCAATTAAGTGGTCAGAAATTGGCAATTTGGCCAATTTCACGCAAATTAAGAAAGATGCCAATTTCAAAATAGGGTCCAGAATAAACAATGTAGACATTCTTGGCACTAAAATAACATATCCTCTGTTCATTAGTCACATCTCTAGGCCCCTCTTATATTACTATTGCTTTCTATTTTTATTTTTTATTCATACAAAAAATAGAAGATTTACCGTTATGCAGACTAGTGCATTATTGTAAAAATGGTATAAATAATATCAGTGCACTAGTGAAAGAATATAAGACTCCCCAGATGACGTGTATTGGACATGTAGTGTGATTTCCTTATTCTTGAACACTGGTAAAAATTGAACATTTCCGCTATTTTGAGCTCAATTTCAAGGCCGTTTTCATCATGAAAATAATCAAAATCATCTCTACTTTTGTAATATGTTTTCCATTTTATCACATGAGACCATGAAAACGAGAATACAACGAAAAATACTATACGAAAATACATCTCAAAGTCGGCGTTTTAATAATAATAAAAAAAAAAAAAAAGGTCGGAGTTTTTTTTTTTCTCGTTGTGCACTGCGTGCTGCAGGATTTTTTTTATATGGTGCACACTGACCACACAGACCCATTTTCTCACATGTGGGCCTACCAGCTTTCTCCTGCTTGATTTGAAGCCGCTAGAATTATTGAGTATATATATACGTCCGAAACACTGGCTCGTAAGACGTACATATACGAACAAAACTGTCAAAGGATTAGCTTTCTTCTTTTACATACCCTACTAAACTCATCCACCAACCTCTGCAATTTCTCTTCAGAATCTTCCAACAGCACAGTGTCATCAGCAAAGAGCAACAGTGACAACTCCCAATTTGTGTTTGATTCTTTATCTTTTAAACCCCTACACCTCTTGCTAACACCTGAGCAATCACTTGTCTTACAACCCCATCTATAAATATATTGAACAACCATGGTGACATCACACATCCTTCTCCAAAGCCTACCTTTACTGGGAAATAATCTCCCTCTCTTCTACATACTCAAACCTAATCCTCAGTATCCTCATAAAAGCTTTTCACTGCTTTCAATAACCTACCTCCTATTCCATACATTTGCAGCATTTGCCACATTGCCCCCTATCCACCCTGTCATACGCCTTTTCCAAATCCATAAATGCCACAAAAACCTCTTTACCCTTATCCAAATACTATTCACCTACATGTTTCACTGTAACACTTGGTCTACACCCCCCCTACCCTTCCTAAAGCCTCATTGTTCATCTGCTATCCTACTCTCCATCTTACTCTTAATTCTTTCAATTATAACTACTACACACTTTACCAGGTATATGCAACAGACTTATTCCCCTATAATTTTTGCACTCTCTTTTGTCCCCTTTATACAAAGAAACTATGCATGCTCTCTGCTAATCCCTAAGTACCTTACCCTCTTCCATACATTTATTAACCCCTTGAGGGTTTGTGCCGAAGATCTACAGCTTTACGTTGAGGGTCCAAACCGTGGATCTATGTCATGAGCTCAGCTCACTCTGATAAGCTGTGAGCGGTAAATTTTGGCCTTGATATGAGAGAAGACATCTATGTGGTATGTGTGCACCACATAAAACAAATCCTGCAGCACATAGTGCATAATGAGAGAAAAAAAAAAACAGACTAATTTTTGATTAAAACAGCAACTTTGCAGTGTTTTTTCCTATGTTTTTTATAGTTGTATTTGCGATTTCTTGGTCTCATTTGATAGAATGAAGACATATTACAGAAATAGAGATGATTTTATTGGTTTTAGTACTGGAAATGGCTTGAAACTGAGCTCAAAGTAGCAGAAATGTAAAATTTTTGTTGATGTTCAAAAGTAAACAAATGACCTCACACGTCTAATACACGCCTGCTGGTGGGTCTAATATACGTTCACAAATGTTCTGATATTATTTATACAATTATTACAATATTGCATAACAGTAAATCTTCTATTTTTTGATTTGAATAAAAATTCATTATGTGAATAAAAAATAAAAATGGAATTCATCAGTAAAGCCTGAAAAGTAACTAATGAACAGAGGAAATGTTAGTTTAGTGCCAGGAATACCTGCATTATTTATTCTGGACCCTATTTTGAAATTGGAGTATTTTGAACTTTGCATTAAATTGGCCAAATTACCAATTTCCGATCACTTTATTTTGTAATTGAAACAGTTGACTTGGCAAATTCTTGTGCTCAATCGATATAATAGAAGTAATACTAGTGAGATAGCTAAGAATTTGGTCGACTGGAATAATGTAATTGGCCTAAAATGGGAGTCAAAGTCCGCAAAATCGCCGCTGTGTAAATATTGCTGACACATCAAAATTCGCAAGAGCATAATTTTGTCAATTTTCCATCAAATTTCATACTTTTTGTTTTATTACCTTCAGAAAAAGATTCTCTACCATTTCACAAGAAAAAATAACAAAATTATTTTTTGAAAATTCTTGGACACTGGTGCACCCTTCGAAATTTGGCCTCTGGACCCTGAAAAGGTTAAATAAAAGCACCATCCACTCCAGAACTATATCCCCACCTGCTTTTAACATTTCTATCTTTATCCCATCAATCCCAGTTGCCTTACTCCCTTTCATTCTACTCAATGCCACACGAACTTCCCCCCGCACTCATAACTTCCTTCTCCTCACTCCTACAAGATGTTATTCCTCCTTGTCCTATACATGCAATCACAGCTTCCCTATCCTCTTCAACATATAACAATTCCTCAAAATATTCCCTCCATCTTCGTGATATGTCTAACTCTCCATTTAATAACTCTCCTCTCCCATTTTTAACTGTCAAATCCATTCGTTCCATAGGCTTCCTCAACTTATTAATCTCACTCCAAAAACCTTTTCTAATTTACAACAAAATTTGCTGGTAACATCTCGCTCACTTTCTCATTTGCTCTCTTTTTACACTGCTTCACCACTCTCCTAACTTCTCTTTTCCTCTCCATATACTCCTCCCTCCTTGCATCACTTCAACTTTGTAAAAACCTCTCAAATGCTAACTCTTTCTCTCTTACTTATCTCTTTACATCATACCACCAATTGCTCTTTTCTCCTGCACCCACTTTCCTGTAACCATAAACTTCTGCTGAACACTCTTAACACTACATTCTTAAACCTACCCCATTCATCTTCAACCCCATTGCCTATACTCTCACTAGCCCATCTATCCTCCAATAGTTGTTTACATCATACCCTAAATGCCTCTTTTAGCTTATAAACCTTCACACCTCTCTTACCTGCTGCTTCCATTTTCCTTGTATCCCATCTACCTTTTACTTTCACTGTAGCTACAACTAAGAAGTGATCTGATATATCTGTGGCCCCTCTATAAACATGTACATCTTGAAGTCTACCCAACAGTCTTTTATCTACCAATACGTAGTCCAACAAACTACTGTCATTACACCCTACATCATACCTTGTATACTTATTTATCCTCTTTTTCTTAAAAGATGTGTTACCTATAACCAAACTTCTTTCTATACAAAATTCAATCAAAGGGCCTCCATTATCATTTACACTTGCCACCCCAAACTTACCTACCACACAGTGAAGGGTAGCTTCATATTTCTGGATCAAGAGCCCTTCACTGGCATCGAGGCACTTCCCATGAAGGGTGGAGATTTAAAGATATGACCTTACCCATGTGTAGAAAGTAGGTGCAGCTCATTAAGACAACTGTGTGCCACTCCAAGAGTTCACAGGTACTGATCCTCTCTAACTGTTTACCAACACCAAAATATTATGCCTTTAAAGAGCTACCAGAATCAAAGTTGTTAGGAAACATTTCTTGCACTTCTTGAAAAACACTAGTTTCTCTACTTTCATGCACTGTACAGTGAACATTTGCTGCATTATTTAGCCACCGTCTTCAATTATTTTCAGCAAATGGTAGAGAAATGTGTGTGGGGTGTTTACATCCAAAGACTGAAAACTGAACTCATTCACTCAGGGTATAATGTGGTATGCCTGTACCAATATGAATTTAATTGTATAATATCCTAAAGACTTTCAGCATAATGTGTGTATTACATTGAGGGTTTTTTGTTACATAGTACAAAATTCATTTTAAAAGTCAAATTGCAATAAACTATGTTTTATAATAATAAAATAGGAATTGTTAATTTTTCCTATTGCACCAGTCACTTTCAAAGCATTTCTGCATTATATTCATGAGTTTTAAATAAACCTAGAAATTATTCATGTTTTTGCTTGACAGTATGAACAAGGCAATCTGTGCATACAACACAATAAAGATAACAAAAATTATATACCTTACATATACATACCTTTCTTATCAAAGAATTCCTTTGAGTATTTGCCAGACTGAGCTATATGGCGTGGAATTTTTCCTAGGAGCTCAATTATGTGTGCTAAGTGGTCCTCATCTCGTGTGTAGTCAGCCCCACTGTGAGGCTCAAACAAATAATCTCCAGTTGCCAATTCAAAAGCCTGAAAGAAAAATCAATGCAGAGTCATTTCCATTTGTATGAACAAAATATTTAGCAATATACACTGAACAAAAATTCACTCCAATGAATATGACAGAGTTAAGTAACATTCTGTTTAGGAACTGCATGATCAAACCAATTTTTTTTTTAACCAAAGTGCAATTAATTCAGCCAAAGGACCAAGGTGTTAGGCACACATTTTAAACTTAATATCTACAAAGAGCATTTCCCCAGTGCAAGAAAAACAATGAAGATAAGAAAAAACTAGGAATTGCTGGGAGATACAATAATAATTATTGTACTGTATTGACATAATAAAGTGCCTGTGGAATGAGACTCAGTCAGGTTTAATTCAAGAAATGGTAGGTATATAATGTCAGGGAGATTATGAGACTGCTGAAACCATCTCCCACTCCACATGAATTCTCACTGTAGACAATGTTGTTGACTATCAACAACAGAGAAGCAGTTATAGCAATCAATACAGCCAATGATCTAAGCTTAGAATGCAGCTCTAGTCATTGGAGAGCAGTACAATGTGGTTCCCAGCTAGACTGTATTGTACCATATTTCATGAGGTCCTAAACCCATGTGGGTCATTCAGTATAAAAGGTGGAGGTTCAGGTATTAGGTAGATGGCGAGAATATTTTGAGGAACTTTTAAATGTTGAGGAAGAAAGGGAGGCGGTAATTTCATGCACTGACCAGGGAGGTATACCATCTTTTAGGAGTGAAGAAGAGCAGAATGTAAGTGTGGTGGAGGTACGTGAGGCATTACGTAGAATGAAAGGGGGTAAAGCAGCTGGAACTGATGGGATCATGACAGAAATGTTAAAAGCAGGGGGGGATATAGTGTTGGAGTGGTTGGTACTTTTGTTTAATAAATGTATGAAAGAGGGGAAGGTACCTAGGGATTGGCGGAGAGCATGTATAGTCCCTTTATATAAAGGGAAAGGGGACAAAAAAAATTGTAAAAATTATAGAGGAATAAGTTTACTGAGTATACCAGGAAAAGTATACGGTAGAGTTATAATTGAAAGAATTAGAGGTAAGACAGAATGTAGAATTGCGGATGAGCAAGGAGGCTTCAGAGTGGGTAGGGGATGTGTAGATCAAGTGTTTACATTGAAGCATATATGTGAACAGTATTTAGATAAAGGTAGGGAAGTTTTTATTGCATTTATGGATTTAGAAAAGGCATATGATAGAGTGGATAGAGGAGCAATGTGGCAGATGTTGCAAGTTTATGGAATAGGTGATAAGTTACTAAATGCTGTAAAGAGCTTTTATGAGGATAGTGAGGCCCAGGTTAGGGTGTGTAGAAGAGAGGGAGAATACTTCCTGGTAAAAGTAGGTCTTAGACAGGGATGTGTAATGTCACCATGGTTGTTTAATATATTTATAGATGGGGTTGTAAAGGAAGTAAATGCTAGGGTGTTCGGGAGAGGGGTGGGATTAAATTATGGGGAATCAAATTCAAAATGGGAATTGACACAGTTACCTTTTGCTGATGATACTGTGCTTATGGGAGATTCTAAAGAAAAATTGCAAAGGTTAGTGGATGAGTTTGAGAATGTGTGTAAAGGTAGAAAGTTGAAAGTGAACATAGAAAAGAGTAAGGTGATGAGGGTATCAAATGATTTAGATAAAGAAAAAATGGATATCAAATTGGGAGGAGGAGTATGGAAGAAGTGAATGTTTTCAGATACTTGGGAGTTGACGTGTCGGCGGATGGATTTATAGAAGGATGAGGTTAATCATAGAATTGATGAGGGAAAAAAGGTGAGTGGTGCGTTGAGGTATATGTGGAGTCAAAAAACGTTATCTATGGAGGCAAAGGAGGGAATGTATGAAAGTATAGTAGTACCAACACTCTTATATGGATGTGAAGCTTGGGTGGTAAATGCAGCAGCGAGGAGACGGTTGGAGGCAGTGGAGATGTCCTGTCTAAGGGCAATGTGTGGTGTAAATATTATGCAGAAAATTCGGAGTGTGGAAATTAGGAGAAGGTGTGGAGTTAATAAAAGCATTAGTCAGAGGGCAGAAGAGGGGTTGTTGAGGTGGTTTGGTCATTTAGAGAGAATGGATCGAAGTAGAATGACATGGAAAGCATATAAATCTATAGGGGAAGGAAAGAGGGGTAGGGGTCGTCCTCAAAAGGGTTGGAAAGTGGGGGTAAAGGAGGTTTTTTGGGCGAGGGGCTTGGACTTCCAGCAAGCGTGCATGAGCATGTTAGATAGGAGTGAATGGAGATGAATGATACTTGGGACCTGACGATCTGTTGGAGTGTGAGCAGGGTAATATTTAGTGAAAGGATTCAGGGAAACCGGTTATTTTCATATAGTCGGACTTGAGTCCTGGAAATGGGAAGTACAATGCCTGCACTTTAAAGGAGGGGTTTGGGATATTGGCAGTTTGGAGGGATATGTTGTGTATCTTTATACGTATATGCCTCTAAACTGTTGTATTCTGAGCACCTCTGCAAAAGCAGTGATAATGTGTGAGTGTGATGAAAGTGTTGAATGATGATGAAAGTATTTTCTTTTTGGGGATTTTCTTTCTTTTTTGGGTCACCCTGCCTCGGTGGGAGACGGCCGACTTGTTGAAAAAAAAAAAAAAAAAAATATATATAGTTTTATAGTAGGAGGTTGGTAGACAGTAACCACCCAGGGAGGTACTACCGTCCTGCCAAGTGAATGTAAAACAAAAGCCTGTAATTGTTTTACATGATGGTAGGATTGCTGGTGTCTTTTGTCTGTCTCATAAATATGCAAGATTACAGGTATGTCTTGCTACTTCTACTTACACTTAGGTCACACTACACATACATGTACACGTTTATTTATGCACACTCATCTGAGTTTCCTTCGATTTTATCTTAATAGTTCTTGGTCTTATTACTTTATTTTATTTTTTTTTATCATCACACTGGCCGATTCCCACCAAGGCAGGGTGGCCCGAAAAAGAAAAACTTTCACCATCATTCACTCCATCACTGTCTTGCCAGAAGGGTGCTTTACACTACAGTTTTTAAACTGCAACATTAACACCCCTCCTTCAGAGTGCAGGCACTGTACTTCCCATCTCCAGGACTCAAGTCCGGCCTGCCGGTTTCCCTGAATCCCTTCATAAATGTTACTTTGCTCACACTCCAACAGCACGTCAAGTATTAAAAACCATTTGTCTCCATTCACTCCTATCAAACACGCTCATGCATGCCTGCTGGAAGTCCAAGCCCCTCGCACACAAAACCTCCTTTACCCCCTCCCTCCAACCTTTCCTAGGCCGACCCCTACCCCTACTCTCATACATTCCCCTCTTTGCCTCCAAGGACAAAGTTCTTTGTCTCCACAGACTCCTAAGTGCACTACTCACCCTTTTCCCCTCATCAATTCTATGATTCACCTCATCTTTCATAGACCCATCCGCTGACACGTCCACTCCCAAATATCTCCTCCATACTCTCTCCCTCCAATCTGATATCCAATCTTTCATCACCTAATCTTTTTGTTATCCTCATAACCTTACTCTTTCCTGTATTCACTTTCAATTTTCTTCTTTTGCACACCCTACCAAATTCATCCACCAATCTCTGCAACTTCTCTTCAGAATCTCCCAAGAGCACAGTGTCATCAGCAAAGAGCAACTGTGACAACTCCCACTTTATGTGTGATTCTTTATCTTTTAACTCCACGCCTCTTGCCAAGACCCTTGCATTTACTTCTCTTACAACCCCATCTATAAATATATTAAACAACCACGGTGACATCACACATCCTTGTCTAAGGCCTACTTTTACTGGGAAATAATTTCCCTCTTTCCTATGTACTCTAACTTGAGCCTCACTACCCTCGTAAAAACTCTTCACTGCTTTCAGTAACCTACCTCCTACACCATACACCTGCAACATCTGCCACATTGCCCCCCTATCCACCCTGTCATATGCCTTTTCCAAATCCATAAATGCCACAAAGACCTCTTTAGCCTTATCTAAATACTGTTCACTTATATGTTCCACTGTAAACACCTGGTCCACACACCCCCTACCTTTCCTAAAGCCTCCTTGTTCATTTGCTATCCTATTCTCCGTCTTACTCTTAATTCTTTCAATAATAACTCTACCATACACTTTGCCAGGTATACTCAACAGACTTATCCCCCTATAATTTTTGAACTCTCTTTTATCCCCTTTGCCTTTATACAAAGGAACTATGCATGCTCTCTGCCAATCCCTAGGTACCTTACCCTCTTCCATACATTTATTAAATAATTGCACCAACCACTCCAAAACTATATCCCCACCTGCTTTTAACATTTCTATCTTTATCCCATCAATCCCAGCTGCCTTACCCCCTTTCATTTTACCTACTGCCTCACGAACTTCCCCCACACTCACAACTGGCTCTTCCTCACTCCTACAAGATGTTGTTCCTCCTTGCCCTATACACGAAATCACAGCTTCCCTATCTTCATCAACATTTAACAATTCCTCAAAATATTCCCTCCATCTTCCCAATACCTCTAACTCTCCATTTAATAACTCTCCTCTCCTATTTTTAACTGACAAATCCATTTGTTTCTCTAGGCTTTCTTAACTTGTTAATCTCACTCCAAAACTTTTTCTTATTTTCAACAAAATTTGTTGATAACATCTCACCCACTCTCTCATTTGCTCTCTTTTTACATTGCTTCACCACTCTCTTAACCTCTCTCTTTTTCTCCATATACTCTTCCCTCCTTTCATCACTTCTACTTTGTAAAAAACTTCTCATATGCTAACTTTTCTCCCTTACTCTCTTCACATCATCATTCCACCAATCGCTCCTCTTCCCTTCCGCACCCACTTTCCTGTAACCACAAACTTCTGCTGAACACTCTAACACTACATTTTTAAACCTACCCCATACCTCTTCGACCCATTGCCTATGCTCTCATTAGCCCATCTATCCTCCAATAGCTGTTTATATCTTACCCTAACTGCCTCCTCTTTTAGTTTATAAA